GAAAAATTGTCCGGTAAGAAAGTCGCGCCGCTCGCGTGGCCTAGGTTTCTCACTGAAAATCCTCGTCCCTCGGCGGCACCTTTTTTTGAATTGTTTTCCTTTTCAACGGCGTTTTTTGGGGATTTCTGATTTCTTTCGAATTTTTTTGCGATAATATTAGGAAAATAGATAACTTTTAACACATTTTAATGCAATAAAAAATTTGACCGCAGTCCCCCTTAAAAATCTTGTTCTGATCAAAATCGTCATCCTGAATATAAGTCAGTCATTCTCAAGGTTCCGTATACTGATCACTTACAGATTAGTTAATAATAAGCCTATTGCTTTTCCCTCCAGGTTTCACTGTACTACTTTGTGCTCCTGATACAAATACACTTGATTTTTTGGGATCGATGCAACAAAAACTCCAATCTATATTGAAGTAGACCATCACAGCTCCGTCCAGAGCGTATACCATTGCAAAGGATAAGGAGCAGAAGATGAAACTCCACAATTCTGTATCCATCAGTTTAGAAGTGAAGTTGTAATTGGCAATGTCAATTAGTTGAATGAAATCTTGAAGGACACTTTGAATATACATTTTTTGCCATTTCTTTCTTCTTTTCAGTTTTTGTTCCTCATTGATTCCAACCATCTGAAAGTTTCTTGATCTTGCATAGAAATTGAAACAATTGAGCTCGAACTGGACGGTATAGAAAAGAACATGCAGGTTTTACGGTCTTACTTTATCTTTTAACAGTTTTGCAAAAATGATCAAATTAAACCCATTCGATAGAAATGACAGTATTCCTACAGTTAGAAATGTCAGTCGATCCATAGCATGTCCACATTCTTCTAAACGTTCCGGTAGAAATATCCATAGTTCTGGATCATAAACTAGGTAGCAGTCAGCTGAAAAATCTTAATAAATACGGTTTTAAACTAACTAACACACTCAAAGCTGATAAAAGAAGGGGAATATGTGACAGTAGCAAACAGAAAGTAAGCGCTAAATTTGTAAACGGAAGACGTCCAGGTTGTGAATTTGAAAATGGGAAAAATATAACGAAGAATCGATTAACAGACATACATACTTGAATAAGAGGAGCCAAGAAATATGGGAATCCACTGACAGCTTGGGATATTATGATGTTTTCGATTCTTGGGATATGGGCATAGGTAGCTCCCAGAATTGAAATTGCGGATGTCCAGAAGGCAAATACAGCACTGATTATAAGGTTTGGAATAGTTTTAAACAGACATAGTCTATGGAAACTGCTGAATGGCTTCTTGCTTGAGGTGGAAAATCGAATGAATAGAAATAGGTTGAGAACGAATCCAATGAATCCAATCTGAAACAATCGTCAGTGATTCACTCTGGAACAAAATTAACTTACAACCGGAACCGAATATTTGTAGTTGAACATCGAAGCACAAGAAAATAGGAAGTAGAACAAGGGATTTGTGATTTCTGTAAGATAAAAGAGAAAAATAATGACTAACAGACATGAAACCATGGGAAAAAAAACAAGGAAAGGAAAACAGTTGTATTCTCATTAGATTCCCAGCTTATAGCCTAAATTTTCCGAGTGAGTTCTCTCATGGCAGCTAGCAATTTGATGAGAAACGATTCAAATGGTTCTAATTCAATGGTTTTAAATTGAGCAGGTTCTAATTCCGGGTAGGATCAAAAAACAACAGGGAATGTTGAGTAGACTGGAAAACAACCACCTAATTAGTCAGGATATGAGAGTATGAGAAATTTGGGTTTGAATTTAGAAAAAAAATTGAAAAATAGAATTGATCTACATAGTCACAAACAGTGTGTCCTTTCGACACGACTTCGAGAAAATTTTCGAGGAATTCCTCGAAAAATTTTCGAGACGAATTCATTTTGCAATGGTGCCCTAACTTTTGCAAGTTTGGTTTTCTACGCCACCACCTAAAAATGGCGTAAAAATGCCCTAACATGACCCTGGCATGATTTATGAGCCATTTTGAAGTGGTGGCCTAGAAAATCAAATTTGAAAAAGTTAGGCCACCACTTTAAAATGACAAAATAAACGAGAAAACAATGTCAGCAACGACCAAAAACTGAAAAAAAAGTCGCAAACGACACTCGAAATTCCGCTACGCGCATTGTATAGCACATTTCTCGGAAAATTTCGAAGAATCCATTCCTCGAAAAAATTTTTTCGAGGAATTTTTTTCGAGGAATTTCTCGAAAAATATTTCTCGAAACAATTTTTTGAGGAATTTCTCGAGAAACTTTTTTCGAAAATTTTTTTCAAGAAACTTTTGTCGAAATTTCCTCGAAAATTTCTCGAAAGGGGCATTTCTCGAGGAATTTTTCAGCTCAGCTACGGTGGCGGAATTTGCGCATCATAGCGATATCCACGCACTGTATGAACTCCGATTACTGTTCAGCCTCACCACATATTGTCTCTCCTTTAATACTACGACATCATCCGTACCTTTTTTGAAAAAAAAATATTTAAAAAATCACAAAAACTTCAATTCATAAGAAATAAACTTCATTCAAAAGATAATATACACAACAGATACAAATAAAACCCATAAACTCATGAAACACGCTCCACTGGTGGTAGTACCAACAGTTGTGGTTGAAACAATAGTAGTATTTGTAGTCATACCGGTTGAACCCCTCATACTGGTGGTCGGCGAGCTCGTACTAGTCATGGGCAACAAATCCCCAGCATAAGAAAAATACTGACAGTAAAAAACTCCAGCAACTTGATTGGTACTGTTAATCGTTAGCATTCTAGCTTGTTCAGGAGCCCAGGATCTGTCTTCAATCGAACTGGTTCCGTTAAAGTCAATAGTAGTGTAGGAGGAGTCATAGCTCATGGTGAACCAGAGTTCATTTTCGGGGAAGGCAGATACCTGAAAGTGAGCGATAATCTCATACTTGTGAAGGGCCGGGCCGGGCCGAAACACGAATTTCACCGGCCCGGCCCGGCCCGGCCCGGAGGCCCGGTTGGCCCGGCCCGGTCGGCCCGGTCGGCCCGGAAGTTTACCGCGAACTTCAAAATCTTGAGCGAAAAGTTGAATCATTGTTTCGAAAAAAGGTATTCAGTGTTTTTTTTCTTCGAGTTATTTTTCAATACATTTTAAAAATCAATAAATTCATTTTCAAAAACAAAAACAGCATGATATCATAACAATTTTCAAATATAACAAAAAGAAAACATAACCGCTGCAGAAAAAATTGGCAAATTTTAAATTATTTTTCGGGATACTGTAGTTTTTGTTTTTCGGGCAATTTTTCCGATTTATAATATTCTTCGGTGCTTTTTTCTATTTTTTCGGTGTGAAATCGTTGAGAAAATCGAGAAAAAAAACCAGAAAATTTAAATTATTTTTCAGGCTACTGTAGTTTTCGTTTCGGGACCATCGGACATCAAATTTTTCTTTTTTTTTTTGGCATAAAAATTGATAATTAACAACTTTTTCGCACTTTTTTCTTCAAAAAATCAAAGCTTCTATAAGAAAATTTTCTATAAATTTCGAAACTTAAATTTTAAAAAAATTTTCCAATAAAATTTTAGAAAAAAACGCACTAGAAATTTCTGCCGGGCCGCCGGGCCGGGCCGGGCCCTGAAAATTTCTCTCGGCCCGGGCCGGGCCGAAATTTCACAAGTCTGGATAATCTCAATGAAAATGATGAAAATTCTTACCAACAATCCAGCAAATCCCGAACGAGTGTAATCTGGTTGGAAAGTCACAATATGTGGATAGAACAAGAGTTCATTGACGATGAGTCCTGTTGTAGTAGCAGCGGTGGTCGAGTAGTTTTGATCGGTGATAAATTTATTCTCAATTTGCATAGTGATTGAGCCATTGGCCATGATGTACCAGTATTCGAAACCGATTTGGAGGGGCTCGATGTGATCGAAGAATCTGGAAAATTTGAGTTTTGGTTGAAAACTTAAATTTTCGTTATTAATCAACATCAAAACTATAAGCTTGAATTATACGCCGGCCATAGTCCATCCAAATCGGCCCGGTCCTTTATAGGATGAGTCCTTGCGTTAAACTTTGAGCCAATATCTCATTTCCTGTGAAAACTATATCAAAAAGCCGTCAACTGACGGAATAATCTCAAATAGCAACAACATTTTGTCAGTTTGTCTTTTTTTATACGTTTTTCAGAGAATGAGATATTTGAGCCCAAAGATCGACCCAAGGAATCATCCTTGTAAGGTTTTGGGCTCAAATTTAACAATGTAGGTGCACTTCTATTACAGGTTTCAATGGAGGTCAAAAGTAGGTACACTTACACATAAGACCTGTATAAGTATCATTCTTCAAATCCATGGGGTTCTTGAAAAACGTATTATTGGTATCCACACTTTGCCAATTGTAAGCGGGAATCCCCCATTTAAAATTAACCACTGCATCTTTTGATTGCTGGATTCCAGTGACGTATGACGTTTTGAATGGCTGATCAATGTACACAAAGGGTTCAAGTTTGGTATTTAAAATCACTGCTGTAGTTTTCCCTGACTTCATTGTAATGTTGTGTTCGGTCTTGATGACGTACACAGAGAAACTTGGATCTGAAATGTGGCCTTTTTTTGTATTTAGGGGTGCCTTTTGTTACC